CTCCTCCTCTCTCCACTCCAGAGCGCGGCTCAGAGGTCGTGGAAGGTGATGGAGGCTGGCGCCCCTGCAGTCCTGCAAAGGCCAGTAGGGTCCAGTTACTTGTTTTGGTGGGGGTGGATAATGTGTGGGGGTCCTGATAGATGGACTCTCTGCTCCCGCCAGCGGGTGAAGGAGCATGCTGAGAATTCTGTTCCCCAGATCTCATTAAGCCCTGAGACTTAAATAACTGCTGACTGGTTCCCTGGGGAGGCTGAGGGTAGGGCTTCTGCCCTTGGTAGTCAGGGGGTCATAGGGCAGCACCCCAATGTGGAAGAAAATGGCTCCTTTTCTGCCCAGGTCGGGGCAGGTGAGCCCTGGCTCTGGGTCATTCCCCCCACCAAAAGTGGCAGGGGGCCCAGCATGGGGTTAGGGCTCCTCTCAGCAGGCCAGAGGTGGAGGGGGGCTGTTGGGCACTCTGGCCCTAGGCCCCTCCGCCCCCTGCCGCCTTCTGCCAGCTCTGTAGAAGGGAGTGCTTAATTACCCAGTCACTCTATCCCTGCTTGGCCAGGCAGCTAAGCCCAAACATCTGGCCCCAAGGCCCACGGCCAGAATGGGTGGCCAGCCCCCGCCCACTGCTGGCCCTGGCTCCGGACACCTCCCACGGGACAGCTGAGCTCGATCCTCTGCCTGCCAGCTTGCAACCAGCCCAGAACAGTAGCTGCATAGGGCCTGCAAGCTCAATCGATGCCGAGAAAAACACATTTGATGAAATTCAGCAGCCATTCTCAGTACATACACACACATACAGAGAACAAAGTTAGAGCAGAGAGGACTGCCTTCATCAGATAAGGGGTATGAAGGAAGACCTATCTGTTGTTATTATCACGGACGATCGATATGGCCTCCTAGGAGCGTTGATGTAGGAGGCCCGGAAGAACGCAGCAGATAAGTGGTTTGGTGAGTAAGAATCTGGCCTGATGCTGGACCAGTTCTATAAAGTCACGTTCTCACATTCCCTGCACCTCAAATGTGACCCACAGACCTGCAGCATCAGCCTCACATGGAAGCTGTTTACAAATACAGAATCTCACACTTAGGAGTCACTATGTATGGAAGCTACAGCCTTATAAAATGTATTTCTTTCTTTCTTTCTTTTTTTTTTTTGAGATAGAGTTTCAATCTTGTTGCTCAGGCTGGAGTGCAATGGCACAATCTGGGCTCACTGCAACTTCTACCTCCCGGCTCTGCTGTGTGGGTTCAAGCAATTCTCCTGCCTCAGCCTCCCGAGTAGCTAGGATTATAGGCACACGCCACCACACCTGGCTAATTTTGTATTTTTAGTAGAGATGGAGTTTCTCCATGTTGGTCAGGCTGGTCTCAAACTCCCGGCCTCAGTGATCCACCTGCCTCAACCTCCCAGTGTTGAGATTACAGGTGTGAGCCACTGTGCTCGGCCACAAAATTTATTTCTTAAATAATAATACTTGAAAGCAAAAATTACTAAGGCCAGGTGTGGTGGCTCATGCCTGTAATAGCACTTTGGGAGACCAAGGCAGGTGGATCACCTGAGATTAGGAGTTCAAGACTAGCCTGGCCAACATGGTGAAACCCCGTCTCTACTAAAAATGCAAAAATTAGCCCAGTGTGGTGGCAGGTGCCTGTAGTCCCAGCTACTTTGGAGGTCGAGGCAGGAGAATTGTTTGAACCCGGGAGGCAGAGGTTGTGATGAGCCCAGGTTGTGCCACTGCACTCCAGCCTAGGTGACAAGAGCAAAATTCTGTCTCAGAAAAAAGAGAAGAAAGAAGAGGAGGAGGAGGAGGAAGAAAGAAGATAAAAGAGAAGAAAAGAAAAAAGAGATAATACAAATGTTCCATAAACTCGTTTCCCAGGCTGGTCTCAAACTCCTGGCCTCAAGCGCCCTCCCCACCTCTGCCTCCTCATGGGATTTGAGGCACAAGCCACTGCGCCTGGCCCGTGCCTTTATATTCCTTCACACACATACCTGCTCTCTAATGCACTGTCTTGGTCTCTCACACTAGTCTCACTCTCACACCATCCTCACACTTCTACACCCATACTCAATCTGAAACACTTATGTTCACCCCCACGGACAGCTCACTCCCTCAGGCTCACACACTCACACAGTCACCCGCACACACACCCCCACCCCCACCTACACACTCACCCACACTGCCATGCCCCCAAGCCCCTCCTTCCGCTGACCACACCAGGACATCCATCTAGGCTAGCAGCAGGGACCAAGGCCAGGAGCCCTGCTGGATTCAACTATCAGTCTTGCCACCCCCCCCCCCACCAGTGGGCGCGGCAGGAACCTGGCTGCCCTGTGCATGAGATGGGCAGAGCCCAGGGACCCCCTCACCACCGTGGGGACAGGTCGGGAAGCAGATGTGGCCTTCGAGCTGCCTGATTGGGGTCCAGACTCTGGCTAGCACTAAGTATTACTTAATTAGTGTCGTCCCTGCCAGCCTGTCAGGGTCAGGCCCATCCTGGGAATTTTCTGTCCCCCAAGACAGGCCGGGTCATTATCACCTTCCAGTTAATCCTCAGCTGCCACCAGCAATCAACACCCCCCCCAACTGTGCCCCCTGCCCGGGCTCTACTCCCTCCCACCCAGCACGTGGCATCCCAGCCACCTCCAGATTTTTGGGATGCATTCTTGGCCTAACAGCTTGGCTGTTTGAGATTCACAGATAAAGGTGGGCAAGAGGCCTTGATATACCCACCTCCGTTGACTACCTTCTTCTCTCCAATGATTCCTACTCCAGGAATTTCACTCAGATCATCCAGGTCAGAGGCTCCAATGCTTTGGCTTGAACCTGGATTCGAAGGCTCCTTGGGGTTCCTCCACAGGAGCACACCTGCTGTCAGCCCCGCTGTGGGCAACACCTCGGTGGCCTCAGCAGGGGCCCTGCGGGGTATGCAGGGGCCAGGGAGGGCACGACACACGATCCAGCCCTGAGTTGTAGCCTTGCTCTGGGCTTGAGGCCAAGGAGGGCGCAGAGAGGAAGAGGGAGTGTTTGCAAACAGGGCAGCTGCCAAGCAGGGCCGGGGAGAGAGGACGAAGGTGCGAAGGAGAGAGACTCAGGCGGCACCCGAGTGACCTTCCCGGACTGGCTGCACATCGACAGGCATGTGCACGCACACACGGATCCAATGTCCACACACAGCGAGGCACATTCACCCACATACACACAAGGACGTTGGCATACACAAGCTCACGTGCTCGTGGGCACACAACAGGCACAAAGCTGTTATCGTCCACACCAGTGCGTCATCCTCACCCCTCCGTCTCTCTCCCATCCTCTGTCTTCTGTCTACATCTGTCCTTCTCTCTCTCCATGGTTCTCTCTTCCTCTGTTTCTTTTTCTGTGTCTCTCTCCACCTCTGCACCCCATCCTCCCTCCTTTACATGCACTTACACACATATGCACACACTTATGCACACTCATGGACACATGCACACTCAGTGGCGCACACTCATGCTCACACATGACATTCACACTTGCAAACATGCACACACGTGTATAGTTCCTTGATGGAAGCTTTGAGGACTTTATTTTTCATTCCATTGTTAGCACACAACTTTGGTTTGGTGAAAGAAGGGATTCTTAGAAGCAAGTGGCTCACTCCCTCCTGCCCACAGCTCTGCCTCAGGACCCCTGCAGGAGGCTCAGGCAGCACCAGGTCATCCTCACCCCTCTGTCCCCCTCCGTCTGTTTCCCTTCTCTGTGTTTCTGTCTCTCATCCTCCATTTCTTTCTGTGTGTGTCTGTTTCCCCATCTCCACCTCTCCTTTTTCTCTCCTGCATGTTTCTCTATATGTTTCTCTCTGTCTCTCTCCATCTCTCCCCCTGCTCTCGGTGTCTCTTTTCAGCTCTGCACCCCACCCTCCCACCTCTGCAAGCCCTCTGATGCGCACCCCCGTCTCGTTGCCGAGCAGACAGACTGGCAGCAGCACTGGGATGGCAGTGCCAGATGGAGTTTATTTGCAGAGCCGCTGGGGCGAGAGAAGGCAAGCCCATCACAGAGGGTGGTGCCACGTGGGAGGGAGACCCGGCTGGAGAGGAGGAAGAGGACGTCGAGAGGACAGGGACAGAGAGGAGGCCCAGCCATGCCACACTGGCTCATTTATTTCATAGACATTTCCCGACCCCTGCTGCAGGCCATCTCCGAGTACGTGGGGTCCGTCAGCAAATGGGATGGACAAAGACCCCCGACTGCAGGAGCTCACAAAATAACCACAAAAACTAAGCCATGCGCTTAGAAGAGGACACACATCCTAGAGAAACAGTCGAGTGGGGGATGGGGAGGCAGACAGTAAGCATTTGGTACACACAGCTGATATCCCAGCACTGTGGGAGGCCGAGGCTGGAGAATTGCTTGAGACAGACCAGGAGTTTGAGACTAGCCTGGGCAACATAGCAAGACCCTCATCTCTATTTTAAAAAAAATTGTTTTTGGGCCGGGCGCGGTGGCTCAAGCCTGTAATCCCAGCACTTTGCGAGGCTGAGGTGGGTGGATCACGAGTCCAAGAGATCGAGACCGTCCTGGTCAACATGGTGAAACCCCATCTCTACTAAAAATACAAAAAATTAGCTGGGCATGGTGGTGCATGCCTGTAATCCCAGCTACTCAGGAGGCTGAGGCAGGAGAACTGCCCGAACCCAGGAGACGGAGGTTGCAGTGAGCCGAGATCGAGTCATTGCACTCCAGCCTGGGTAACAAGAGCAAAACTGTCTCAAAAAAAAAAAAAAAAAAAATTGTTTTTAATTAGCTGAGCATGATGGTGCAGCCCCTTAATCCCAGCTACTCAGGAGGTGGAGGCAGAAGGATTGTTTGAGGCTAGGAATTTTAGACCCACCTGTGCAACATAGCAAGACCTCCCCCATCTCTAAAGTTTAACAATTAGCCGAGCCTGTAGTCCCGGCTACTCAGGAGGCTGAGGCAGGAGGATCGCTGGAGCTGTGGATTTTGAGGCTGCAGTGAGCTGAGATCAAGTCACTGCAGTACAGCCTGGGAGAGCAAGACCTTGTCTCAAAAAAAAGTTTAGGGCGTGAGGGGATGAGTCCCGAGCAAACAGCAAATGCAGAGGCCCTGGGGAAGGCGGTGGCAGGTACGGTGGGGCGCACAGAGGTCTGAGGCCCCCCTGGGAAGGTGGCGGCAGGTACGGAGGGGAGCACAGGGGTCGAGGCTCCCGTGGACCAAGGGAGGGTTGCAGCCTGCAGAGAGGAGATAGGAGGAGGACTCCAGGGGAATCCCAAGCCACAGGGATGGAAACACAGAGGAGAAACCAAAAGCCACCTAGCGACAGCCTCGAGGCCTCGGGTGGGGCGCTTCCCTCTCTGCCAGCCCCAGGCCGGCTCACTGGCCGGCCTCCTCTTCCACCTCTCCCACTTCTTCAGCCTCGCCCTCCTGCTGCCTCCAGGGGCGCCCCAGGTGCTCCCTGATGGTGCTCACGGCGCTCCTCCTTCGGGGGTGAGGGTCCAGCAGCCCCCACAGAAGCGCGTCGGCCGCGGGGGCCAGGCCGAACCAGGGCTGAGGACGGTCCTGCGGCTGGCCCGAGGCCTGCCAGATGAGGAAGTCCTCGTAGAAGGGGTCGGCCTCAGCCAGGGGCTGGTCCCAGGGGAAGTAGCCCGTGAGGAGGCAGAAGACCAGGACCCCCAGCGCCCAGGCGTCCAGGGCGGGCTGAATGGGCAGGCCCTCGGGCAGCGGCGGCGGCGCGCAGAGCTCGGGGGCCGTGTAGGGGATGGGCGGCCCGGTCAGGCGCAGCAGCGTCCCGCGAGGCCTGGTGTGGCCGAAGTCGGTCAGCTTGAAGCGCCGGCAGTCGGGGTCGCACACCAGCACGTTCTCGGGCTTCAGGTCCCGGTACACCAGGCCGCGCGCGTGGATGTACTCCAGGGCAGAGGCCAGCTGGGCGGCGCAGCGCTGCACTGCGGGGTGCGGGAGGCCCACCTGCGGGGGGGGGGGGCCGTGCCCCGGGACAGGAGGCGCGTGAGACCGAGGCCCACCTGCGGGGGGGGGTGCCCGTGCCCCGGGACAGGAGGCGCCTGAGATCGAGGCCCACCTGCGGGAGAGGGGCGGGGCCCGTGCTCCGGGCCCGTGTCCCAGGACAGGAGGCGCCTGAGACCGAGGCCCACCTGCGGGAGAGGGGCGGGGCCCGTGCCCCAGGACAGGAGGCGCGTGAGACCGAGGCCCACCTGCGGGAGAGGGGGGGGGCCGTGCCCCGGAACAGGAGGCGCGTGAGACCGAGGCCCACCTGCGGGAGAGGGGGGGGCCCGTGCCCCAGGACAGGAGGCGCCTGAGACCGAGGCCCACCTGCGGGAGAGCGGGGGGCCCGTGCCCCGGGACAGGAGGCGCCTGAGATCGAGGCCCACCTGCGGGAGAGGGGCGGGGCCCGTGCTCCGGGACAGGAGGCGCCTGAGACCGAGGCCCACCTGCGGGAGAGAGGCGGGGCCCGTGCTCCGGGCCCGTGTCCCAGGACAGGAGGCGCCTGAGACCGAGGCCCACCTGCGGGGGGGGGGGCCCGTGCCCCGGGACAGGAGGCGCGTGAGACCGAGGCCCACCTGCGGGAGGGGGGCGGGGCCCGTGCCCCGGGACAGGAGGCGCCTGAGACCGAGGCCCACCTGCGGGAGGGGGGCGGGGCCTGTGCCCCGGGACAGGAGGCGCCTGAAACCGAGGCCCACCTGCGGGAGAGGGGCGGGTCCCGTGCCCCGGGACAGGAGGCGCCTGAGACCGAGGCCCACCTGCGGGAGAGGGGCGGGGCCCGTGCCCCAGGACCCGGGACACCGGAGACATCTGACTGGGCTGTGGGATTCCCATCTGCCGGGAGAGGGGCGGGCCCAGTGCCTGGAAGCCAATGGAGGCAACCGAGACCACAGGGCCGGTCCTCCGCCAGGGAAGCAGGCCCGAACACTAAGGAGGCCGGTCAGGAAGGCTGTGAATTGTTGGCCCCATGAGGCCAAGTATGATCTGTGAGGCCTGTGGGTTTAGGGGGCCTAGTGTGACCCCCATGAGACCTGTGGGTTTAGTGAGCCTGGGGTGACCCTGTAGGGCCGGTGGGTTAAGTGGGGCCTGGGGTAACCCCATAGGGCCTGTAACTCGATTGGGGTCCAGTGTGAGCTGGTGCTGCCTGGTGAGTCTCCCTAGTGTATCATGTGGATCCTGTGATGTCTATGAACAAAGAGGCCTAGACGAGTCCTGTGGGCCCACGAGGGGCCTCCTAGGGGTGGGTAAGGGGAGGCCAGGGGAGGCCCACCACAGTGTCTGTGTTTCCCGGGTGAGGCTGGGAGGCGTGCTTGGGGTCTGCCTACGCACCTTGGGCTGGATGAAGGCCATGAGGTCCCCGTGCAGGACGGGCTCCGTCAGGAAGCTGTAGGAGTGTGCCGACTCGATGCCAATGCCGTAGGCTGTCACGATGGCCGAGTGCACACCCAGCGAGAGACCCACGCAGAACTCATACAGGAAGCCGCGGAGGGACGTGCGGGGTTTGGGGAGCTGCTTCAGTGCCAGGGGCGTGCCTGGGGCAGCAGGGAAATTGTAGGAGGTGTGCGGGAGCCAAGGGCCACCTGGGCCAGCTGCCCTGTTCCCCTGCCGTCCCCCTTGATGGTCCCTCGGCTTGGACTCCTTCCCGTAGGCCAGCTCCACCCTCTCCAATTCCTACCTCCCTCCTGAGCCCGCCCTAACAGCTTGATCACCCAAGCATCACTGGTGTTACCAATAGTTACAGCATGTTGTGGCCCAGCTGGTGGCTTGGGCCTGAGATCCCAATGCTTTTAGAGACTGAGGCAGGAGGACCTCACGAAGACAGGAGTTTGAGACCAGCCTTGGTAACACAGTGAGACCCCATCTCTAAAAAAAGTTTTAAAAAGCTGGGCACTGTGGCTCAGGCCTGTAATCCCAGCACTTTGGGAGGTTGAGGCCAGTGGATTGCTCGAGGTCAGGAGTTCGAGACCAGCCTGGCCTACATGGTGTAAACCTGTCTCTACTAAAAATAGAAAAAACTAGCCGGACATGGTGATGGGCACCTGTAATCCCAGTTACTTGGGAGGCTGAGGCAGGAGAATTGCTTGAACCCAGAAGGCGGAGGTTGCAGTGAGCCGAGATCATGCCACTGCTCTCCAGCCTGGGCGACAGAATGAAAAAAAAAAATTAAAAAAAAATTAGCTGGACATGATGGCATCTCTTAAAAAAATTAAATAAATAACAGTACTTGGTGAATTTCTACCCTGCTTTCTTACCAGCCCATAACCTTGGAGATGGAAGAATACAATGAAATTTCTTCAGTGAAATTGTTTGGCTGCTTATGACAGCAAACTGGTGTTTGAGGCAAAAAAGTATTTCTGAGACATCTGGGGAAAAGGTAACCCACATTGGGTAAGAAAGCCAATTAAGGGATTGTGGATTTTGTCACCTGTGGAAATGACTTCCTAGAGGCTAAACTCCCTGAAGACAGAAACTTCTGATGTCTTCCTTTTTTTTTTTTTTTTTTTGGATGCAGTTTTACTCTTGTCACCCAGGCTGAAGTGCAGTGTCAAGATTTCCGCTCACTGCTACCCCTGCCTCCCAGGTTCAATTGATTCTCCTGCCTCAGCCTCTGGAGCAGCTGGGATTACAGGCACCCGCCACCAAACTTGGCCAATTTTTGTATATGTAGAAGAGATGGGCTTTTACCATGTTGGTCAGGCTGGTCCTGAACTCCTGACCTCAGAGGATCCACCCATCTCCCAAAGCAGCACTGGCATTGAAGCCATCATGCCCGCTTTCTTTTTCTTTCTTTCTTTCTTTCTTTTTCTTTCTCTCTCTCTTTCTTTCCTTCTCTCTCTCTCCTTCCCTCCTTCCCTCCTTCCCTCCTTCCCTCCTTCCCTCCTTCCTTCCTTCCTTCCTTTCTTCCTTCCAGAAAGGATCTCTTTCTGTCACCCAGGCTGGAGTGCAGCAGCACAATCATGACTCACTGCAGCCTCCGCCTCCCAGGCTCAAGCAATTCTGCTGCCTCAGCCTCCTGAGTAGCTGGGATTACAGGCACGCGCCACCACACTGGGCCAATTGCACACCCAACTAATTTCTTTTTCTGACATCAGAAATTCCTGCTAATTGGCTAATTAAAAAAAAAATTGTGCAGACAGTCTCACTATGTTGCCCAGGCTGGTCTCAAACTCCTAGGCTCAAGTAATCCTCCTGCCTTGGCCTCCCACGGTGCTGAGATTACAGGTGTAAGCCACCATGCCCATCTTGATTTCTTTGATTTTTGAGCCATCAGCTGCCAGGCTGCAACCCTGCCCGTGACTAGGCCATGTGTGACTGGGCTAAATTCCCTCCTTATTCGTCAGGTGCAGTGGCTCACACCTGTAATCCCAGCACTTTGGGAGGCTGAGGCAGGTGGATCAGGAAGTCAGAAGATCGAGACCATCCTAACATAGTGAAACCCATCTCTGCTAAAAATACAAAAAATTAGCGTGGTGTGGTAGCACGCACCTGTAGTCCCAGCTACTCAGAAGACTGAGGCAAGAGAATCACTTGAACCCAGGAGATGGAGGTTGCAGTGAGTCAAGATTGCGCCACTGCACTCACTCCAGCCTGGGTGACTGTCTCAAAAGAAAAAAAAAAACAAAACCTCCTTACTAAAAACACCAGCCATCCCTGCCCACTCCCCAGCCAGATAACCAGATGCAGTGGGTCCTCTTCTGTGTTTTCAGTGCTCCTGATCACTGCTGCGAAGGCCACACCACTGATGTCAGCGATCCCTGCCTATCTGTGCTGCCCATGTGCCCTGAGCTGCTCAATGACAGTGACATGCTCAGGGCCCCAGCATCACACAACCTGGGGGCAGGCGTGCTGGAGGCCTCGAGGTGCACGTTCTGGACATGCCCATGGAGGGGCCTCATTGACAACGCCGCCGCTCTGTGACTGCTCGTGCCTCCGGCTCTGTGGGCGTGTGGTGCGCTGCTGTGTGACTGTGCTATGCTGTGTTATGACTGAGTTGTGTCACCCTGAAACTCGTATGTTGGAGTCCTAACCCCCCATCCTGCTGAATGTGTCTGTGTTTGGTGACAGAATGTTTAAAGAGGTAAAATGAGGTCACTAGAGTGGGTGGGCCTCCTCCAGTGTGACTAGTGTCCTTACAAGAAGAGGACATCAGGACACAGACACGCACAGAGGGATGACCACGTGAGGACACAGGGAGAAGATGGCCAAGTGCAAGCCACGGAGAGAGGCCTCAGGAGAACCAACCCTGCTGACACCTTGATCTCAGGCTTCCAGCCTCAAGGGCTGTAAGGAAATAGACCTCTGTTGTTGGCCAGGCACAGTGGCTCATGCATGTAATCCCAGCACTTTGGGAGGCCGAGGCAGGAGGACCACTTGGGGCCAGGTTGAGACCAGCCTGGGCAACACAGTGAGACCCCACCTTTAAAAAAAAATAAAAAATTAACTGGACATGATGGCATGCACCTGTAGTCTCAGCTACTTGTGGGGCTGAGGTGGGAGGATTCCTTGAGCCCATGGGGTCAAAGCTACAGTGAGCTATGCACCACTGCACTCCAGCCTGGACAACAGAGTCTCAAAAAAAAAAAAAAGAAAAGAAAAGAAAAAAAAGGCCAGGCACGGCGGCTCATGGCTCATGCCTGTAATCCCAGGACTTTAAGAGGTCGAGGTAGGGAGATCACTTGAGGTCAGGAGTTTGAGACCAGCCTGGTCAATCTGGTGAAACCTCGTCTCTACTAAAAATACAAAAATTAGCTGTGCCTGTAATCCCAGCTACTCAGGAGGCTGAGGCAGGAGAATTGCTTGAACCCAGGAGGTGGAGGTTGCAGTGAACCGAGATGGTGCCACTGGACTCCAGCCTGGGGGACAGAGCAAGACTGTCTCAAAAAAAAAAAAAGAAAAACGGAAAACCTTATGTTGTGGAAGCCCCCGCCTTTGTTACGGCAACCCCAGCAGATGAATGCATGCTCTTTCTGCATTCGTGCTAGGAGATTCTTGAAGGCAGGAACTGGCTATGATTCAGTTCTGGGTCCTTGCCCGCTCAACCCCCCAGCATAGGACTGGGCTCAGAAGGTGTGCCCTGAACCCACTGACCTCAGCTTTCCTCCATGTTTTCTGTTTCATGAAAGGACACAGGCTGTGTATGTGCTTGGCAGAAAGGTCCAGGGAGTAAGGAGCTGTCGTGCACACCTACTGTGTGCCGGCCTTGCTAAGTGCTTAGCAGACAGCATCACTGTGCGTCATCCCACAGTGACCACTACAGCTGCCACATGAGGCTCGTGAGCCGGGAGCTCTGTCTTACCAGCATGGTCCCCAGCAACCAGAGCAATCCACATGCACTCAGAGGATCAACCATTCTTCCAACAAAACCGTTACCCACGTTTTTCAAATGAGGAAGCTGAGGCTCAGAGAGGTCAAGGGAGTTCCTCAAAACACACAGCTTTTGTCAGGGCACTGTGGCTCATGCCTGTAATCACAATTGCAACTTGGGAGGCTGAGGCAGGCAGGTCACTGGATGCCAGGAGTACGAGACCACCCTGGCCAATATAGCAAAACCCTATCTCTACTAAAAAAGAAAAATACACACACACAAAACTTTAGCTGGGTGTGGTAGTGCACACCTAAAGTCCTAGCTACCCAGGAGGCTGAGGCAGGAGGCTCACCTGAACCTGGGAGGTGGAAGTTGCAGTGAGATTGTACCACTGCACTCCAGCCTGGGTGATAGAGTGAGATTGTGTCTCAAAAAACAAACCACCAACCAAAGAAACAAAAACAAAAAACACAAAGCTTTGGAGGGCGGAGGTAAGACTTGATTCTGGTCTACCAGCCTCCCCAGCCTGGGCCATCCCAGGCCTGTGCCCCGCCCCCAGCTGAACGCTGCCACCTCGTCCCCCAGCACCCAGTACCTTTCTGACGATGGGTGACCAGAAGGACTCGGCCGTAGCGACCCTGGCCCAGGGGACGCACCTCCTCGTAGAGCTCATCCACCTCCGCCCGGACCAGGGTCTGAGCACTCAGCGTCATCATGTCCTCCAGAGCCAGAGCAGCCTCCTGGCTCTGCCGGAGTTCCTGCACGGTCAGGCCCCCCAGGCCCTCCTCCTCGCCATCCTCTGACGTCCCCACCTCCACCGGCCCGTCCTCAGACTGTTTGCCAGGCATCTCTGCAAGGACAGAGAGGGGCACCCAGGCTCAGGTCCCAGACCCAAGAGAGGAGGCTGCTGGGGGTCTGGACTCCTGGGTCTGAGGGAGGAGGGCCTGGGGTCTGGACTCCTGGGTCTGAGGGAGGAGGGCCTGGGGTCTGGACTCCTGGGTCCGAGGGAGGAGGGGCTGGGGGTCTGGATTCCTGGGTCCGAGGGAGGAGGGGCTGGGATCTGGATTCCCATGTCTGAGGAGGAGGGGCTGGGGGCTCATTGCCCTTCTCATTGTGACTCAGTCTCCCTCTTGGTGAGAGGCGGAGAGACCAGTCTGTGCTGTGAGGTGAGTTCAAGCCCCAGTTCACAGATGTCCCTGCCCCCACATCCCTGCCCCGCCACCCTAAGGTTGAAAGATGAACCAGATAACTGAGACTCCCCCCATCTTGTTTCCAAAGCAAACAGACTTGGGCCCTGGGGGTGGATGAGTAGCCTCTGTCTCCTGAGAACAAACAGGTGCTCTGGGCCCAGGGCTGGGAGGGCGGGGCTGCGCAGAGGGCCTGGGACGCCTGGGTCCTGCATGGGGCCGAGCACTTGGGATCAGCCCCCAAGCTCTGGACATGCCTGGGGTCCCACTTCCCCAGCCCAGCCGCCACCTCAGACCTGGACCGCCAGCCTCGCCTCTGCCAGACCCCGGGGTCCAGGCCCCAGCCCACCCGTTTCCCAGAACCTCAGACAGCTCACACAACCGGGGACCCTCGGATTCTGCTTCCCTCACCCTCAACCATGCCACAGCCTCCAGGTGCAGCCTGGGCGCCCTTGAGGGACCGATGACGCGGGCCACCTGGTACAGTCACCCTCAGGTGCCACCCACCTCAGGCCAGGGTGCTCTGCCCGCCTCCAGACCTGGGCTCAGCCCTTCAGATCTCACCTCCTCCAAGGCCTGCCTGACCCTCCGGTGCCGGCTGTGGTCAGTGCCCGGCACTTGGGGCCCATGCCAGCAGAGGCCTGCCCAGGAGCAAGACCCGCCCCCACTTTGGGGGTCGTAAGGCCCCGCCCCCAGGCCCGCCCCTTCTGCCCCCACTGGGAGCAGAGCGACATCGTGTGATGACTCCTGGAACTGGCTGTGGTCAGGCGGATACCCTGACCCAAGAACTCAGCCCTCTTCCCTCAGACCCAGGAGCCCAGGCCCCAGCCCCTCCTCCTCCCTCAGACCCAGGAGTCCAGGCCCCAGCCCCTCCTCCTCCCTCAGACCCAGGAGTCCAGGCCCCCAGCCCCTCCTCCTCCCTCAGACCCAGGAGTCCAGGACTTCAGCCCCTCCTCCTCCCTCAGACCCAGGAGTCCAGCCCCCCAGCCCCTCCTGTCACAGACCCAGGAGTCCAGGCCTTAGCTTCCCCCACCCATTTGAAGTTTTCAGGCACAGAATCGAGGCCTCCCCTGCCCCCCACAAGGCCCCTCTCTTCTCAGTTGCTCCACCACCTGCTTCCCGCCCCCCTAAGTCTGAGGTCATCTCACACTGCATGATTCTGGAATCTCGTTGTCTCATTCTTTCCCCAAACAAGACCCCAGCATCTGATCCCCTGGACACCCCTCTCCAAACACTTGTGTCTGACCTGTCAATGGGGGATTGATGGGGCAGCTGGAGGGGGTCATGGCAGGGGTGAGCTCCAGAAATGATTTCATTTTCTACACGGGACCTGGACTCCTAGGTCTGAGGGAGGAGGGATTGGAGGCCTCCTGATTCCAAAGAGAGGAATAACAATAAAAATAGTTTGAAAACACACAATAGGAATACAGGCCAGAGAGCGCCTCCCTGCTGTAAACACAGAAAGATTAAGCCTCACCCCGAAGCCCCCCAAGCCTTGGGCTACAGTGGGACTTCAGACTCCTGTTTTTTTTTTTTTTTTTGAGATGGGTGTACTTACCCTTCAGGATTTTAAAATTTTCTTTTTCTTTCTCTCTTCTTCTTCTTCTTCTTCTTTTTTTTTTTTTTTTTTTTTTTTTTTTTTTTTGGTGACAGCATCTTGCCCAGGCTGGAGTGCGGTGGCACGATCTTGGCTCACTGCAACCTCAGACTCCCTGGTTCAAGCGATTCTCCTGCCTCCGCCTCCCAAGTAGCTGGGATTACAAGTGTGTGCCACCACGCCCAGCTAAGTTTTGTATTTTTAGCAGAGATGGGGTTTCGCCATGTTGGCCAGCCTGGTCTCGATCTCCTGACCTCATGATCCGCCTGCCTCGACCTCCAGAAGTGCTGGGATTACAGGTGTCAGCCACTGCACCCAGCATTTTTTTTTTTTTTTTTTTTTTTTTTTTTTTTGAGGCAGAGACTTGCTCTGTCACCCAGGCTGAAGTGTGCAGTGGCCCAATCTCAGCTCATGGCAACCTCTGCCTCCCGGGTTCAAGTGATTCTCTTGCGTCAGCCTCCCGAGTAGCTGGGATTACAGGTTCCCACCACCAGGCCTGGCTAATTTTTATATTTTTAATAGAGACAAGGTTTTACCATGTTGGCCAGGCTGGCCTGGAACTGCTGACCTTAGATGATCCACCTGCCTCAGCCTCCCAAAGTGCTGGGATCACAGACATAAGCCACCTTGCCGGCCTACCTTTCCAGTTTATAGTGCCATGACTGATGTGAAGTCACTTAATTTTTTTAAATAAACGTTTTATTTTGGAATCATTTTAGATTTATAAAATGGTTGCTAAGATCCTGCAGAGACTTCCCGTGCACCCTCCCCCAACCTCCCCCAGTGTCGGGTCGTGATGCAAACCATGAGACATTTGTCAAAACGAAGAGGCTCACAGTTGGGCCAACACCAGACTGTTATTTCACCAGCGCGCTTCCACGACGGCTCGAGCCCAGGGCACCATGTTGCATGTCATGAGCTCACTTTTCAGTCTAGAAGCATAAATTCCTGTAAAGCAAACACAATCTCCAGTTCCTGACCCTCCGCTGGGTGCTGGGGCATGAATTTGGATCTAATTCGTCCCTGTCCCGCAGGCATGAACCTCCACAAGCCGAGCTCCATGTCTGGTCTGGGAGGTGGCATGGGACTGAGAGAGACGCAGACTGGCCATGGTGAGATAGGAGACCCATTGGCACCAGGCCTGGCTCTTAGGATTGACGGGTCTGAGAAAGGCGGCTGGAGCTGGGACAATCACAATCCGCGGTGCTCTGTGGGAGCAGAACCCAGAATGATCTAAATGTGGAAAAGACCCGGTCCAGCCTGGACAGTCAAGAGAAGAGAGACAGAAAGAGACACGGATTGTTCCCATACAAGTTCCCAGGAGGCCAGAGAGGGCTTGGGGCAGGGGGCACTTCCTGGAGCCACAGGACTTGGGGGAAGATGCTCTCGGGGGAGGGCACACAGTGTGCCAGTGTCTGCCAGCAGCTGTGTGTGCATCTGTGCGTGTGTGTGTATATGTGCGTGTGTGCGTGTGTGTGTATATGTGTGTGCCTGTGCGTGTGTATGTGGGTGTACGCGCTCATGTGTGCATGGGTAGATTTAGGTCCAGAGCAGATGAGTGACTGCCATGACGTCACCCAGAGAAGTGACAGGGGTGGAGGGTGAGGTTTACATGGTGTCGGACCCTAAAGTTCAGATCTTGTGACATGGACAGCAGGAGCCACCGAAGGTCTTAGAGGAGAGGCGTGATCCTATCGGAACTCCATGATGGCCAGGTGCAGTGGCTCACACCTGTTATCCCAGCATTTTGGGAGGCCAAGGCAGGCAGATCATTTGAGGTCAGGATCTCAAGACCAGCCTGGCCAACATGGTGAAACCCCATCTCCACTAAAAATACAAAATTAGCCGGGTGCAGTGGTTCATGCCTGTAATGCCACCACTTTGGGAGACCAAGGCGGGCAGATGACCTAAAGTCAGGAGTTCAAGACCACCTGGCCAACATAGTGAGACCCCCCCCATCTCTACTAAGAATTAGCCAGGTGTGGTGGTGCACGTGTAGTCCCAGCGACTCAAGAGGCTGAGGCAGAATTGCTTGAACCTGGGAGGCAGAGGTTGCAGTGAGCTGAGATCACACCACTGCACTCCAGCCTGGGTGACAGAGTGAGACTCCTCAGAAAGAAGAAGTAAAGACAGAAAAAAGAAAAGAAAAGAACCCCACGATGCCCATTCAGCGTGTCCTGTGAGTACAGAAACACACAGGCAGGGGAGGGTGGTGGTAGGGGGACAAGCGCCTTCTTCCTTCAAGAAGACACACTCAGGACAGAAGGAAAAGGAGGTGTTCTCGAGGGGGAGGGCTGGCAGCCTGGACCCCGGGTCTGAGAGAGGAGGAGCAGGAGCTGGACTCCTGGGTCCCCGTTGGCAGAGGAGTGGTGCAGCCAAGCCCGGCGTCCCACAGGGAGAGTGCAGCGTGTTCCTCTCTGTCCTTCCAGCTGCAGCTGTCTCTCCATCCAGGTGGCCCCAGGGGCTGGGGGAAGGGCCTTTGGCCCAGGCTCTGGCCACCTGTCCCTGTCACCTGGTCAGGGAGCTCCCCCATCTGTCCCCGTTCTCCCGCCACTTTTATCATTATCATCCTCATCTGTCCACTCCTCCAGGCTTGAGCCTCCCTCCTCTCCATCCTTATAGGACACGCTCCCCCAAACCCCAGGACCTTCTCTGTTCCCCTGCAACCCCCAGTTGTCCCCCAAGAAGTCCAGGACAGCCAGTGGGGAGCTCCTCGTCTCGGGATTCAGGTCCAGAAGCCCCTGGAGCAAGGCCAGGGCTGGGGGCGCAAACTGGTCCCAGGGTGGTGGTGGCTGAGGTGGCTGAGGCCTGGTGGTCACCCAGCCAGCGAAGGTCTCGAACTCAGGGTCAGGGGCTAGTGCCACGTCCCAAGGGAAACAGGCAGTGGCAGCACAGAAGAGAAGCACCCCCAGGCCCCAGGAGTCCACAGCTGGCCGCAGAGGCAGGGTGTCAGGTGGTAGCAGGAGGCAGAGCTCAGGTGGTGCTGTGGGCAGAGGTGCTGGTGGGGCAGGGGTCGGGCTGCCCTCTGGCCGGGTCAGACCCAGGTCTCCCAGGGCCACACGGCTGCAGACCGGGTCGAAGACCATCACATTGTCCGGCTTGACGTCTGCATGGACCAGCCCCCGGCTGTGGAGGAAGTCCAGAGCTCCTGCCAGCTGGGCCACCACCCGCTTCACCAGCAGCTCTGGGAGGCCCTGCAGTCAAGAAGACAGGAGGAAGGTCAGAGTGTCCTTGGTTCTGTCCTCTGTATGTTGTCCAGGCTGGTCTCAAACTCCTGGCCTCAAGGGATCCTCCTGCCTTGACCTCCCAAAGTGCTGGGTTTACAGGCATGAGCCACCGCACCAGCTGGTTTCTTCATAACCATTCTTGAAAGAGGTTCTAGACTCCTAAGTCCTAAGAGTTTGACTCTTGGGGTTTGAGAATCTAGAACCCAAGATTAGTGGCTACCTCCAGTGTCCCCACCGCATGCCCCCAGAGACTTTCTCTCCATCCTTCTCAACCTCAACCTGCAGCCATAGCTGCACTCCCGGAGACTGACTCCCAGCTGGTCTTATTACCAGAGCTCCTTCTTTCAGCTTCTTTCAAAGATTCTCCTAACTTGAATACTCAGGCCGCTATGAACATTGCTTATACATCTTTTGTAAACTGACCATCCGGATCTTCTTCAGTGAGAACTCAAATTTCATTCTTAACCCAAATCTTAGTCTTATACTAGTCTAGACCCCTTCTCTAACTCAGAGTCTGTTCTAAAATCTCCCAGTTCATTTCATCAATTATCTACCCATCTAGCCATCCAGCTGGCCAGGCAGCAATCCATCCATGAAGCCATCCATCCTCATGGTATTAAAAAATATGTCCATTCAACATTCATTCTACCAAACAGTCAGCAATCCAGTAAGTTATTCAATTATCCAACATCCATATATTCGTCTTCTCTTGCTTTCTTTCACTCATTCATTCATCATCCACTCATCCATCTACCAATCTTTCCATCCACCCACCCACCCATCCACTCATTCATCTATCCACTCACCCACCAAACCTTCCATCCATCCATCCATCCATCCACTTATCCATCCATCCATTCACCCACCCACCAAACCTTCCATCCCTCCATCCATCCATCCATTCATCCATCTACCAATCCTTCCTTCCATTCCCCCATCCATCCACCCACCAATCCTTCCATCCCCCCATCCACTTATCTATCCATCCACTCACCCACCCACCCACCAAACCAACCACCAATCCATCCATCCATCCATCGATCCATCCACCAATCCTTCCTTCCATTCACCCATCCATTCACCCACCAATCCTTCCATCCCCCCAACCACCCATCCACTTATCTATCCATCCACTCACCCACCCACCCACCAAACCAACCACCAATCCATCCATCCATCCATCCATCCATCTACCAATCCTTCCTTCCACCCATCTATTCACCTATCCATCCATGCACTCGCCCATCCTTCCATCCTTCCATTCATTCAACCACCTAAACCTTCCTCGTCCCCTTCCTTCTTTTGTTCCTTCCATTTATCCCCAACTTTATCTCAAATCCAAAATCTATTCCTAGAATGATCCCTACCCCAAATCTCCAAACTGAAGAGGCCCTAGAAACTCATGGGACCTGTCCTGACCTGGTCTCCTTTCAAGCCCATCTCCAACCCTCAGTCTACATATACACATCCTCAGCCATCTCTGCTTCCCTCTGCAACCCTATTCATGCTTTTCTCCATAGCCATGATCAATCTGTAATCAACCCTAAACTCAACCCACCCACCTCCACCCATGCCCATGCCCCTATCCCCAGTGTCAACTGAAGTCCCAATCCTGTCTCCATCCCCACCCGTGCCACTGACCTCAGTCATCCTCAGCCCCACCCCAGCTCCCTGCCCTTCCATGCTTGTGTTTGGGTAATTGGTTGGATCAGGGTTGATGTCGGACAGGAAACCTCATTGAGAATTACAAAGGGGGAGGTCATTTGGGGGGGGTCAGGGCGGAGCCAGGTTGGGTGGGCCCTGATCTGGGGGTCAGAGTTGGACCTGGGATAAGCACTCCCAACCTTTGTCTCTTGTGGCCTCACCCTTTCCTGCAGCATCCCGCTGAGATCCCCATAGGGTGCATACTCCTGGGCGAAGGCAAAATAGCGGGGGGTCTGCAGGGGTCCTGCCAGGGTCTGCAGCAGGCCTGGGTGTGCGGAGACGCAGCGGCCCACACAGAACTCCCTCAGGAAGGTGTTTCTCAGGACTGAGTCCCGACGCAGGAGCTTCAGAGCCACAGCCGGGCCTGCCGGGAAGACACGCAGGTGGCTCTGGTCCTGCGGCGGGACCTGAGCCAGCGTGTAACCTTGCTGAGCCTCGCCCTTCTCATGGGTTCCTCCCCGTGAGGTGTGGGTGGGAGACCCTTCCTGCTCTGCCTCAGACTGCGGCATGGGTTGGCACAGTGGCCTCACCCTTTCCGGGCCTCAGCTTCCCCTTGCATCCAGTAAGAGACCTGGTGACTTGGATTCCAACCTGGGTTGCCTGCCTGTCTTGCCGTGGGACCGTAGGCAGCCCCCCACCCTCTCTGGGGGGCCTGTGTTTCTCAGAAGATCACAGAGCTCATAACTTTCAGAAGGTCCCCATGGAGAAGGGTCCCCCTTCCCCCCCCCCACCCCGTCAGCTCCTCCTGGGAATGCTCCCTGTGGGAGAGGACTCAGAGAACTCTTATTGTGGGGCAGTGGGGGAGGCTGCCCTTGGGTGACCGAACTCACCACCCTGGTGAGGCTGAGCGAGGAGAACACGGCCGTAGGAGCCGGAGCCCAGCTTCCGGATGAGGTGGTACTGGTCCCGGAGGCTCCTCACCGGGGTCACCCTGCTGGCCGTCAGCTCCACCAGCCGCTGGAGGGCTGTGGCTGTGTCCTCCTATGGGAGACGGGCAGGGTGAGGCGGGGGCGAGTCTGGGGTCTGCTGAGAGTGGCGGGGGAGGAGGTCGAGCCCAGCCCGGGATGGGGGGTGGGGGACAGGGGACAGGGGTCACTGTCCCCAGAGAGGAGGATGAGTCACAGTGACTCACCCGGGCTCGGGCCACCTGTTTCTGTGTCCTGGTGAGGTTAGGGGTCATTGTCTCAGAGGCCCCGCCTGTCCCCGCCTGTGGGAGCAGGCCACGAGCCCCCAGCCCCGGGTGTGGCTGCCCCCGCCCCCCGCTCACTCGGCCTCTCTCCGCCATCCTCTCCCCCACACGTGCTGCCCTGTGTTTCTGAGTCCGTTTCTCTGGGGGCCTCACTGTGTCCTTGGGTCTCTGTCATCCTCCCTCCCTGGCTCTGGGTTTCTGAGTCTGTGTTTCCCTGTTTTCTGCGTCTCCTCTCTCTCCCCACGTGGCCTCCTGCCTCTCTCTCCTCCTCTTCTCCCTCTGTCTTCCTCCCTCTTCCCCATCTCTCACCTCTGGGTCCCCATCCTCAGGGGTCTCGGAGGCCCTGGGCTCCATGTCAGGGCTGCCTGGGGTGGAGTGGCCCTTGGGCAGAACCCCCGGGTCAGGGTTCCCCAGAGAGCAACCAGCCCCCTGCGCCCCACAGGTTCTTGCTGTGCAGAGCCAGGGGCTGGAAGGTGAGCCTCAGCCCCCCCGACTGTCCGGGCCTGCCCAGCAGGAGGTGTCTCTGCCTCTGTGCCCCCTCCTGCCACGCTCTGGGAGTATTCCTCGCTGCCCTGCCCAGGTGATCGCCCTACTGCCCCGCCCTCTCTGCCCTCTCTTCAGCCAGCCTCAGGCTCTCCTTCCTTCTACACCAGCACCTGTCTCTCTGCCTCTCTCCTGCTCCCTCTCTCTCTTGTCTCTCTTCACGTGTCTTTGTCTCCTTCTCCCTCCCCCTACTCCCTGTCTCTGTCTTGCCTTTGGGTCTCTGGGGTGGGACTCCTCCCTGCCCTGTCTCTGTGGGTCGCTGGCCCCTCTCCCCTGTCCCCACACTGTCCCACTCTTCTGTCACCAACTCTGGGGGTGTCCCCACACTCTGCTTCCCGCCTGCTCCCCACTCTCTGTCTGTCTGGGTCCCGTCTCTCCGGCCCCTCTGGGCCTCCCCACCCACTCTCCCCAGTGTCTCTGTGTCTCTCTCCGCCTCTTTGTTCCCGACTCTCTCTCAAAGCCTTTGTCCCTCCCTGTCTCTGGGCCCGGGACAGGGGTGTGTGTGACAGCTCAGAGACAGAGACATCCTGTCCCCCCACACCCCTCCCTCACCCCCTCTCACCGCTGCCCCCTCCCTCTCCCTTCCAAACTTAGACTGGCTTGGACTCTGGGCTCTGGTCCCAGGGCAGAGGGGACAAAACATATTGTGAAGCCCCAACAAGGTCTGAGCGGGGATCACAGGCCCAGAGCTCAGCACCTAGGTCTTGCCCCAGAGGCCAGGAGTGCTGGTGTCCAGGGACCAGGCAACAGTTCCCAAAGCCCTCCTCCCTCAGACCCAGGAGTCCAGGCCCAGCCCCTCCTCCCTCAGACCCAGGAGTCCAGGCCCAGCCCCTCCTCCCTCAGACCCAGGAGTCCAGGCCCAGCCCCTCTTCCCTCAGACCCAGGAGTCCAGACCCAGCCCCTCCTCCCTCAGACCCAGGAGTCCAGACCCAGCCCCTCCTCCCTCAGACCCAGGAGTCCAGGCCCAGCCCCCTCCTCCCTCAGACCCAGGAGTCCAGGCCCAGCCCCTCCTCCCTCAGACCCAGGAGTCCAGGCCCAGCCCCTCTTCCCTCAGACCCAGGAGTCCAGACCCAGCCCCTCCTCCCTCAGACCCAGGAGTCCAGACTCCAGCCCCTCCTCCCTCAGACCCAGGAGTCCAGACCCAGCCCCTCCTCCCTCAGACCCAGGAGTCCAGGCCCAGCCCCTCCTCCCTCAGACCCAGGAGTCCAGGCCCAGCCCCTCTTCCCTCAGACCCAGGAGTCCAGGCCCAGCCCCTCCTCCCTCAGACCCAGGAGTCCAGACTCCAGCCCCTCCTCCCTCAGACCCAGGAGTCCAGGCCCAGCCCCTCCTCCCTCAGACCCAGGAGTCCAGGCCCAGCCCCTCTTCCCTCAGACCCAGGAGTCCAGACCCAGCCCCTCCTCCCTCAGACCCAGGAGTCCAGACTCCAGCCCCTCCTCCCTCAGACCCAGGAGTCCAGACCCAGCCCCTCCTCCCTCAGACCCAGGGGTCCAGGCCCAGCCCCTCCTCCCTCAGACCCAGGAGCTGCAGTAGCTGTGAGATGCACTCAGGTCACGGGTGCTGCCGTGTCCTCAGCACCTGCTCTGCACCTAGCCTTGTGCAGGGCTTTGCAATGGATCCTTCCAGCTGCCCAAAGGCTCAGTATTTATCCCCAGTTTACGGAGCAGGAAACTGAGGTTCCGAGGAGCGATGGTGTTAGCCAAGGTCAGAAGGGGAGCAGGCCCCGGGCCAGGCCTGTGTGACTCAGAGGCCTGCTGCCTGCCCCACTCGTGTTTCCACTACTACTACAGCCCTGCTATTAATAAAGACAGCGGCATCGATGCGGAGGCTCTGGAAGGACCCGCAGGAAACCGGCTGTGGCGCTGGCCGCTGGGGACCTGGATGGGGCCAAGCGGGGGCAGAAGCAGAACTTCCTTCGCTGTTTGACTGTTGTGAGGTTACGCGGGGAAAAGTCACAGACCTACAGAAAAGTAGAAAAAGCGCTGTCACGTACACCCATTGTCTAGACTTCACAGATGTGACGATTTGACCGTGATTTCTTGATCTGTATTTCTTTGCTGGAGGGACATACAAATCAGTTTAAAGTAAATGATAGATACCAAAGTCTTTTGGAGGCGGAAATGCTGAGCTGCCCGGTGTGTTTGCTTTAAAACAATCTGGCAAAAGAAAAGAACCTGTGTGTGTGTGTGTGTGTGTGTGTGTGTGTGTGTGTGTGTGTGGTGTATGAGTGTGTGTAGGATGTATGAGTGTGTGTGTAGGGGGTGTGAGTGTATAGGGTGTGTGTAGGGGGTGTGTGTGTGTAGGGGTGTGTGTATAGCGTATTTGTGTAGGGTGTGTGTGTGTCGGGGGTGTGTGTATAGGGGGTGAGAAGGAAGGGACTCATTCCGGTTTTTGGTTATGCCAGAAATTTTCTTTCATAAAAAGCTACAAGTTATCAGCAAAACTATAGGCACCATGATAAATTGTGCCCAGCCACTTGGGTGTAACTGTCTATAAAAGTAAAAAAAAAAATTCTGGCTCAACTACAATAAAATTGTCATACTTAATGATTAAAAAAAAAAATTAGGATAAGACCAGGCACCGTGGCTCATGCCTGTAATTCCAGCCCTTTGGGAGGCCAAGGTGGGTGGGTTGCCTGAATTAGGGAGTGTGAGACCAGCCTGGCCAAATGGTGAAACCCCATCTTTACTAAAAATACAAAAATTAGTCAGGCGTGGTGGCAGGCGCCTGTAATCCCAGCTACTCCAGAGGCTGAGGCGGGAGAATTGCATGAACCTGGGAGGCAGAGGTTGCAGTGAGCCAAGATGGCGCCACTGCACCCCAACCTGGACGACAGAGAGAATCTGCCCCCCCAAAAAAATAAAATAAAAAGTTTAACATGGAGTTTTGCTGTGTTGCCCAGGCTGGTCTCAAACGCCTGAGCTCAAGTGATCCTCCTATTTTGGTCTACCAAAGTGTTGAGATTACAGGTGTGAGCCACAGTACCCAGCCCCAGAGTTCTCGAAATCAGATAATAACAAGCCTGTCTTCAATTTGTCACATTTATTTATTTATTTATTTTTTAATGCCAGGCCAATCACAGTGGCTCATGCCTGTAATCCCAGCACTTTGGGAGGCTGAGGCAGGCAGATCACAAGGTCAAGATATCAAGACCATTCTGGCCAACATGGTGAAACCCCATCTCTACTAAAAATGCAAATATTAGCCAGCCACTACGGGTGGCAGGCACCTTTAGTCCCAACTACTTGGGAGACTGAGGCAGGAGAATGGCTTGAACCCGGGAGGTGGAGGTTGCAGTCAGCCAAGATTATGCCACTGCACTCCAGCCTGGCGACAGAGCGAGACTCTGTTTCAAAAAAAAAACAAAAAACAAAACAAAAATTCCAGGCTGGGCGTGGTGGCTCAGGCCTGTAATGGCAGCACTTTGGGAGGCTGAGGCATGCAGATCACCTGAGGTCAGGAGTTCAAGACCAGTCTGACCAACAAAGTGAAATCCCATCTCTACTAAAGATACAAAAATTAAGACCAGGCACAGTGGCTCACACCTGTCATCCCAGCACTTTGGGAGGCCGAGGTGGAGGGATCATGAGGTCAGGAGTTCGAGACCAGCCTGACCAACATGGTGAAACCCCGTCTCTACTAAAAATACAAAAATCAGCTGGGCGTGGTAGTGGGCACTTGTAATCCCAGCTACTCAGAAAGCTGAGGCAGGAAAATCACTTCAAACCGGGAAGTGGAGGCTGCAATGAGCTGAGATCATGCCACTGCACTCCAGCCCAGGCGACAGCGTGAGTCTGTCCCCCTCCCCCAAAAAAAGAAATTAAAAAGAAAACTTTTAAGGCTGGGCGTGGTGGCTCACACCTGTAATCCAAGCACTTTGGAGGCCAAGGCAGGTGAATCACCTGAGGTCGGGAGTTCAAGACCAGCCTGACCAACATGGTGAAACCTCGTCTTTAAAAAAATATAAATAAATAAACAAATTAGCTGGGCATGGTGGCCAGTGCCTGTAGTTCCAGCTACTTGGGAGGCTGAGGCAGGAGAGTCACTTGAACCCAGGAGGCGGAAGTTGTGGTGAGCTGAGATTGCACCACTGCACTCCAGCCTGGGCAACGGAGCAAGACTCTGTCAAAAAAGAAACAGAGGGAGAGAGAGAGAGAGAGAGAGAGAGAGAGAGAGAAAGCTTTATTTGCTTTATGACTCAGGAATCAACGTCAATGCCCTGAATGACTTTCAGGGAACTTTTTCTCACTGTGCCTTTTGCACTATTTGAATTTTTCCTGTATGTGTTGTTTGAAATTTTAAAATAGAATAAAATAATACAGTGATGATGATACAGTGATATAGTAACACTTGGTGCTTACTTGCTGCCAGGCCCTGGTCATGCTTGCGTGCTCTCTCTCTCTCTCTCTCTCTCTCTCTCTCTCTCATTCTCTTTTTCACCTAAGACTTCGTGGAGTCCTCCCAACAAACCCTGGGCGGGTAGAATGATGGTTTCCAGTTTCCTGATGGGTACAGTGAGGAGTGAAGCGGTAGAGTCATGGGCCCCGGAGCCACAGCCAGCGAGAAGCAGAGCTGGAATGCCTTGAGGTCGGGGACTGCAGGCTCCTCTGTGCCCTCTGCCTGTGCCACTCCATGAGGCTGACCTCAGGCGCCCAGCTCCACCAGCTCCTCCACTGGAGACCCGGGCTGGCTGTGAGCCGACGGGACACATGCATCTGCTCCTCCAGAGCCGAAAGGTCAGGCAGCAGAGCCGGCCACCTGGGTCCCCTGGGAAGAGAGTGAGAGGGGACACTGTGGGCCTCTGGGGCTCCAGCCCTCCCAGCCCTCCCCCAGAGGCTCACTGGTGATCCGGGGAGCTTTGCACCTCCCCATTTAGTAACGCCACTCTGTGGGGTCACCCGGAGTGACCTCGGCACGCAGGTGTGGTGGGGGAGGCTGCCAGTCCTGCCCCAGGGCACACACACATCCCTCATTAGAGCTGGGCGCTGGGCCTCTCTCCTCCCCTCCGCCCCGCCCACCAGCCTCTGAGGGCTCCTTGAGGTCTGGAGACTTTTTGTGACCGTTTCCTGCCTTTGTCCCCTCCTGGCCAAACGAGGGCACACCAACAAGCTAAGTGTGTTAACAACAACAATAATAATATTGTCAACACTCATACCGCCCTCGCTGCTGTGGCTTGTGTTTTCATGTGTTGTTATCATGCTTGTGATTATTTTTGCAGAGATGGGGGTCTCAGTATGCTGTCTCGACTTTCTCTTTATGTTGGAATTGAGGCAGGTCTTGAATTCCCGGCATGCCTCTGTGCCTCAGTTTTCTCTTGTATTGAAAGAAGGTCATCCCCAGCTCCTACCCACAGCATTGCTGATAAAAAAAAGTCATACTTATAATGCACATTATAATAATATTATATCTAAGATAATTATTTT